AGGGAAGACATGCAGAGAACACCTCATCCATAGTCTGATCCCCAGGCCTACGGGAATGCTACCTCCCCCCCCCCCCCCCCCCCCCCCCGCCCATTACCCTCAGCTAGCATGAGGAACTGGGGGAAGAACCTCCAGTGTGCCATAAGGAAAATGAACACTCGCACCCAGGGCCCAGAGCCTGCTTTCTAAATGCCACGTGCTGCTGGAAAGGACTGGGGCTCCTGGGACAGGCCAAGGGTAGTCCCCGAGGGGACACACAGCCAGGCAATGCTCACCGCAGGGAGAGCAAATCGGGGACACACCAGTCCACGGGGAGCCTCCAGCACCCACGGCCAAAGAGGAACTCATGTGATTCACAGAACAAATGACTGGCCCGGCAGAGAGCAAAACCACCTTTCCTTCCGGGAGGATTCCAACCCCCACACAAACACGCTCCTATCCGAGGGAGGGCCGGTGTGCCTGCCTGAGTTAGGCAGGCCTGATGCCGGAAGTAGCAAATAGGAAAACCCGACAGCCTGCATGATCGCCCAGAGAAGGCAGGTGTGGACACTCCGCCAGGGGACGATGTGATTTGGGTGCAATTTCGGGGCTGGCCTCCCAGCGCAGACGCCTCGCCCTAGAACGCACGGGGTTTGATCCTGGGCACCACTGCCCCCCTGATGGCTGCCAAGGGCCCAAACCCTGGAAGACTGAGCAACTGCCCAAGGCCGAAGGAGACAGAAAATAGAACAGCTGACAGACAGCAAGGATAACGTGGGACTCTGACTGGGTTCAGAACTTGGAACATTCTCGAGCCTAGCGCTTCTGACAGACACATCATGAAATTGGTTTCACAGGGATAAAGAGAGACTGGATCAGCAAGCCGGAGAACCGTGGCAGGAACCTTCGTCTTCAATCTGGAACAAAGCACTCCAGAAGGAAGAAATAAGGGACCATTTCAGAGTTGGGAAGCAGCCTCGTTTGAAACAGAAGCTCTGCCCCAAGTTTTCCACCAGCCTGGGGTCTGGCAGGCACCATTCTCACGTCCCACCAACATACACACATGCACATACACACAACCACCTTCCTCAACACACACACACGCACACGCACACACACGCCACCTTCCTCAACCCCTTGAGGCAGGAAGCAACTTTCCTCTGGGGTAAAAATGTCAGAAACAAACTAAGTAGTTATTGAAGTTTATATAAGTGCTTGCAAATAAAGGTACTCCAGATCGTTGCAATCTAGTCACATATTGAATCTTAATTGGATAAAAGAAATTAATGATGGCCTTTAGAAAAGACCGACCCTGCCAGCAACACTGTCATTAATGAATAAGAATTCCTACGTATCAGAGGTTAAAATTCTTCATTTGAGGAGCAGGAGAAATAGTACAGCCCTGAGTACACGGCTGGGTGTCGTTCCCAAAATACTTGCCCCCACCCCCGCCAAAAAAAATCTCCATTTTAAAGATGCACCCACCGATTTGACACGAGTGACCTCTAAGGTAACACATATGAAAAAAGGTAATATTAAGCTTTGTGGGGCCAGAGCAATAGTGCAGTGGGTAGGGTGCTTCCCTTGTACTTGGCTGACGTGGGTTCAATCCCTGGCACCCTGTATGTCCCCCAACTAGGCCAGGAGTAATCCCTGAGCACAAAGCCAGGAATAAGTCCTGAGCAACACCAGGTGCCAAAAACCAACCAAACAAAAGAGAGATATTTGTGATACCTTAAAATCTAACTTGTCACCTGATATTAATTTAAGCTAAGATTGTCTTTTATGCATGCTTGCAGACTCATTTAGAGAAAACACTGCTAAGTCATAGAAGAAATCTTACACACTCAACTTCCCAGTAATAAAAATTAAAATTTTAATAAAATAGAATACCATCTGCAAGTTCTACTCTGAATCTTACAAGACATAATGTACTGAGAAAATGCTTTGCTTTTTTTTGGGTTGACAAAATCAAAGTAATTATTATTATTATTAGAAAGATGACTTTAATATAATTACTTCACACTGTAGATATACCCATGTGGATAGACATAAGTAATCATGGTCTGTCTCTATACCCAATTTTAATTCTGGAGCCAGACTATGTACAGAAAATTGGAGTTAATGAATAGTTATTCCAAAACAAAAATCGCCAACATGGTAACCTAGTAAACAGCTTCTCCAAAGAACCCTTAAAATAGGAGACATTCAACTGTCAACTTAGTATGGCAATCAACAATGGCAGAGTAAACTTTTATTAGTATAGAACATCTATTTTATTCAGTCAAGTAGAAAGTTGTTTTATTCAATCTATGCACTGGAAGTACTTAAGATTTTTCTGCAACTCTTTATCTGAAAGATAACATCAGGCTAGCCGCAAGATTTCAGAAAGCAAAGTCACAGTAAACACAACCCCCTAGTGTCGGTCTTCGCTACTATGCAGGCTACACGCTAGGTCTTTCTGACCAACAACTAAGCCAACACTTCCCTCACCACGAAGCATCTGGCACAGACACGTGATTCCTGATTCAGGTTTCACTATGGCATCTTAGTTATAATTTGAACTTGGCTCATCATTCTCTTACAGAATAGGTCTGTTAATTAACTACACGTAAAAAGGTACAGCATATTCCACAGGAAGATAAAAATAAAAAACAAGCTTTTTTTTGGGGGGGAGTGTGTGAAATGGCAATGCTTTTGTGAATCATAAGTCACATGACACAAAGCCTCTCTGGCTTGAATCATGTGATAAGCTAATTCCTTGATACATCACTGTATCTGTTATGTCAAATTTGAGTCAAGGTGTGCCAGTAAGGACTCACGATTCAGCTCAATTAACTGACTACTAGATTATGATCTCTAAAGGTACTAATAGCCATTATTTCCCCTTTGACCAAATTAGACATTCTTTCTATACAGCAGTTAGAGTGACAGAACGATCACCATTTCATTTATTCTTATTAAGTCTTCCATAGACCCAAAATAGGAGGGACAATGAAAACACTGTCAACACCCTTAAACTACTGAGTTCTACACTCAAGACAATTTTAAGTTAAGAAATCAAGAAAATGGAAAGAAGCAACATAAAGATCTTCTAAGATCAGGGCCAGGAAGGAGGCTCAAGGGCTGAGCACATTTCATACAGAGACCAGGGTTCCATCCCTGGCACTGCATGGTCCCCCAACACCAAAAAGACCTCCAAATAGAAGAAATTGGACTAGTTTCGTTTTCTTTTAATATCTTCTTTAATAACACATTACAGCACACAACTGAACCCCCAATATGTCAGTTAAACATGGGGCTATAGATCCATAGGGAGAATGGAAACAAGCTTAGTTAACCCCGTACCTTTTGGCAACTAATGGAATACAGAACAAAAACGGACCAATTCTCTCTCAGTCTATTATTCTCAAGATTTTGAAGACACCATAACTGTTTTATTACAAACTTTGCTGCAATCTGCTAAAGAATCTTCAAACTTAATCATGTTATGAATTAACAATCTGCCCCTCATAGCAGACTTAACTCAAACATAATAAAGAGGGTCATACTAACAACCCTCTCATGATGTTAACATATTCGGAAAGGTTGATGGAATTATTTCCCTAGTCTGAGATAATATGGTGTCTTCAGCGGCTTATAAAGAGTTAAATACAGGAACAAAAAGCTTTTGAATTACAGTCAGTAAAATCACTGGGAAGAAAAAACAACCCCAAAAACCAAGACTTGCGAATGGCTTTATATGATTTGCTTCTAAACACAAAACATACATATGTTCAAAGGACTTTTAAAATTTTCAGTAGGAATTTAGTCAGAATTTCTAAATTACTTATCACAATTAGGTAAATTCTAACGTCCCAATAACCAACATCTTAAGAAATACAAATATTAAACCCGGAGCTCGGGTAGTTGAACACGGTGGGGGAATACTTGAACTCCAGTGTATAAGAGCAGGAGTTGGTAGGAACCATCACCTCTCAGCTTTTCCTTGGAAGTACTTAACTTTGAACTTGGGAGAGGACAAATAAGGTGGGCCGATATGTACAATCAATTACAAAATGAACGCAAGGATGAGTTACAGCAGGAAGAAGGAATGCATTTTGTAATCCACAGGATCTAGGTAACTGCCAAACAATATTTAAGATTTCAACGAAGGAACAGTAGCTTCAGTTGTAAAGCAGTGTTTCTCTCCATCTGAACCAGTCAGAGCCAGAAGAATGTGGCTACTGGCTCTTTGGGACACTTTTCCAGCCCACAGAGAAGCCATACTTTATGCTGGCCCTGATTTCAGGAGCCAGAGCAAAGTAGACTAAGAAAACAGCCACTCACTTGAAAAGGAAAGAAGGGTGGAGAAAATCTGGGAATGAACCCAGCCACAAAGCATTTCCATCTCTTTGCTAATAAAATGAGTAGTCATTCATGAATTTGGCCCAATTGTTAACAACTTCCCAAAAAGCCCCCCAAAACTGAGTTTTAACTTCAAAAAATGAAAGCACTTAAAGAATTTTAATTTTGTATAATTCATAAAAGATAGACCTTTACCAGTTTCCATGTGTTCCATCGTATTTTACACTAAACGGGAGACTGCCTGGTAACAACCTCCTTCTAGTGGCTGCTCCAGCACCTGATCTTCCGACAGCCTGACCGACAATGCAACTGCTGGAGGAGTCGGTCAGCTACCTACATGGTGGACCAGACCGGCAGCGACAGCCGGCTTCTACAGCAAGCTGCAATATTCCAACCTCCGACACAGAAAACAATGAGAGGGGAAATGACACGTGACTGCAATATACTGAGACAGCAGGAATGTCATTTTTCACCTAGATCAGCAGCTGCTAATACAACCGTGCGCACAATTTAATGAATAAATCTGCTCTAGTTTAACTAATGAATCTGCCACTAAGCCGAGAAAGGGAGATATGAATTGCACTTGCAATTCCAGCTGATGAATTCATTAGATTTTTATAAGGCAAATAATGTGGAAAATTAGAACAGAATTTCTAGAACCATTTATCCTGTGATGTTGTAAAATCAAAGTACTACTTTATTAAATGAGTTATTTTACACAATATGAACATCAATATAATTACAATTGTAAAAAAATTTTTATAACAAGGATGGACTGATTTTCAGATTTCCAAATCAGAGTCAACTGTACATTTACACAGAATTGTCTTTGCATGAAGCCCAAAAGGGAACAGCATAAAAATGAGTGTTTCTGTAGCCCCTTTATTTTTGCTGATCAACAGTTTGTTAGAAAAGCAGCTGCAGGTTTGTTACCTAAGGTCTGAGACAGTAGAAGAGTCAAAGGTGTCATGAATTCACCTATAAAACATAAGCAAGATTTTCAGTGAAATGCAGGGATCACACAAATGCAACTTTTGTGCTTTTCAAGTACAAGAAAAAACAAAAACCAAACCAGCATAACAAGCCTAATCTAGCAAGTCAGTCTGACAGATCTGCCGACTCAATCTTATAAATAGGTCATCGACGAATTTACTTTTCCAAAGAAATGCTCACATACCACCTGGTAAGCGGGCAGAGCCTGACCGAAGCGTCTAACTTGACTACTTCCAGCAACCACCAGCTTTAAACAGCGGATGCCGACATTCTGCCCTGCTTGAACCGCTGTGCGCTGCTCCATTTGGGAACACTGATGCCCATCATTTTGGGGAGCAAGACACTCAAGGAACTGTATCTTCCTTTTTTGGGCCACATCTGAGGGCTTACTCCTGGCATGCCCTCACCCTCCCATTTTGGATTACAGGTTCCAACAGTGTGGATAGAATACGTTCTAGGAAAATGAACTTTTAGCAATATAGAGGTAAACAACATTCACATTAAGGGAAGAAGGGACACAACAACAAAGAACGTCAGCCTGAAGGTAAACATTAACTCCAGAATTCTGAGAGATGATTTTGCTGTTGCATACAACCGAGACATCAACAAAATTACCTGTAAACGCCTTTATGCCTGAACATCAGCCAGTTCTGGAGGAAGCGGAGTCTTAGGATGCTTGCTTTCAAAGTGCTGCTTGAAGGTCTTGGGGTCTGGCATTTGTGTCTAGTTTAAAAATTATGCAAAAAAGGGAGGGGGTAGTTAAAACTTTACTCACATGATGAAAATGTGTTACTTTTAAATTCCTAGGCCTACTCAAGACGGACAATTACCACGAAACCCTTCTAAATTCCCACAACTTGGTAACTGGCATCTTAAAAAGCCCTTTAACAAAGGAATTCCTGACATTCCCTCACTTCACCCGGGCAGGGGGGGGGGGGGGGGGCTCTGCTTATCTGACTGACAGCAAACAATCGGGAATATTTGCTGAACACTTAACTGTGCTGAGCATGTTACCTGAACTCCCACTGAACCTGGGTTCCTACCAGCTTCATTTTACCCTAAGCAAAAACCCAGAATCTAATTGCTTTTGGTTTTGGGGACACACCCAATGTTGCTCAGGGGCTTCTCCCGGCAGTGCTCAGTGCCAGTGGTGGAACCCAAGCTCCTGCACGTAAAGCAACACACTTAAGCTGCCGAGCTCTCCCTTCAGTCTCCAAGACCCATGTTTAAACCCACTGCCAGTGCAATGTTCAGCTCCCAATTGCTAACTAGGAAAGGGCCTTCAACCATCCGTTCTTTAGCACTTTCATCTAGACAAAACACAAAGTCAGTGTTCTTGGCTGAATTTCTGAAGTACGTGAACTAGTACTTTATGTGTCTAAGTATTTATTTAGTAATTTAGTGAAACTGCCTTGTTCAAAACAGAATCTGAAGAGGCTCAACTTCACCATTTTGAGTATATCGAAGTTCAATATAAACAAGACACTTACTGTACTAAAACCTTTCCTCTCAGATTAATGAGAATGCTTACCCAGCAAAGCACTTCTCTCTGACCAACAGATGATAAATGTGCGTGCGTTCCGGGAATCACGCCTTACCACATTCCCGCCCATCCACTCTCGCCACCAATCACACTGTTATCTGACTCGGGGAAGCACCTGCACAAACTGGACCAACATCGCTGTGTGGCTCGTCCTTTGGCAGGTTAGCCCACTGACGTCAAGGCGGGTTAAGTTTAAAGGAACAGGCAAGAAAGAGGCTACTGCTTGAACGTAAGCAAGTGTTTACAAGGTAGCATGCTCTAGTGGGCCAGAAGACAGACTCTGGACCGCCTGGGTTCAGAGTCCAGCTCTCCTGCAGGCCTGCTAGCAACCCGGTGCAAGCGACCAAATCCCCATGTCTCCTTTCACACTTCTGTGAAATCAGAGCACTTCATGTCACAGGGCGAGTGACATAAAACAGCCAGAAAGATAGTACTGAGATTAAGACGCTGGCTTTGCATGAAGCCAATCTGAGTTTGATCCCTGACATCCCACATGTTCTCCCAAACTCTGCCAGTAGTGATCCTCAAAGAGCAGAGCCAGGAGTAAGCCCTGAGCACAGACAGGTATGGTCCTAAAAACAAAACAAAAAACACGCAGACTTGTCTTGATGCATGGTAAGCACTCAATAAATAGCAGTTTAGATTATTATATAACAAAATACATTAGTAAAGCCCTCAACACAAGTATACCCTGTAAGCACTTTGCAAAAACTCTGACTTGTGTGCGGAAGCCAACTATCCCCAAAGCTCTATTCACTCATCTTACATAGTTCTAAATTGAGACTATAGATATTTTTACCATGTCTGAAGTATACTAGCTGTCCTAAGGAAAATACTTTATCACAATGAAAGAGACTTTGCTTTGTTGATTCCTTCCCTCTTACTTTAGAGACTTATGCCTGCTCAAAAAACAAACAAAAAACCCCCCAAAACCAAAAATCGTGGAGGGGCTGGAGAGACTGTGCAGCAGGTAGGCCATTTGCCTCGAATGTGGCTGACCCGGGTTCTGATTCCTGGCATCCCATATGGTCCCTGAGCATCACCAGGAGTAATTTCTGAGTGCAGAGAGAGGAGTAACCCCTGAGCATTGCGAGGTGTGACCCAAAAAGCAGAAAGTGGAGTGGACAGACAGAGACGAACTTTCATTACTGTTTTTCAGAGGGTGAGCCCTGGCAGTGGTCAGTGCTAGGGGACCACATAGGGTGCTGGAGATAGAACCGGAGGAGCCACGTGCAAGGCAAACACCTCATCCCTGGACTACTTCTGGCCCATGTTTAGAGGGATTAACCTAGCCAGCACGTCAATCTACTCTTTCAAGGGAAGCATTTGTCCCTCACAGTGGTCCAGCCGGAGCCCACACCAAGTCATGGCCAACAGAAGGCGGGTTTCAGGTCCTCTTACCCTACAGACGGTGCAAGTGTAGATTAAGGCAGCTTTGGCAGCAGCCTTTTGGTCGTGTCCTTGCTTCTTCTTTTGTCCAGCTTGCTTTTTGGCATTTTTCTGCTGAGACTGAATCTTCTGCTGTCCACGAGCCATATCTAAAAACAGAAGTTGAAGCATTAGGGTGATTTATTTGCTCTGCTACAGTCAAGTAAGCAAAGCACCATCGTTGCAGAGCTGAAGAATTAAGTTTCACAGAAACAAATGGGTGTTCTTTCAAATTCAGATATAATGGCAACTAGAGGATTAAGTGGTACAACCAGCACTGTGGAAACTAATCACTGACTGCCAAGTACCTTACAAGTTCACTCTTAGTACGCACCGATCAGAAAGGCACAGAAAGGCACCGTGTACTCATGTGTGTGAGAATGCTCAGAGCACCTGTTCCTAACTCTGGAAACAACCCGTATGTGTATAAATAGCAACACGAATCCACAGCTATGCTGCATGTGCATAAGGAATATTACGCAGCAAGAAGGCATGGCTCTTACAAGTCACATGGAGGCCAACTGGTGGCTCAGCACTAAAGAAGTCAGATACCAAAGAACAACCACAACAAGTTTACAATCGACAAAGCTCCTCTGGAGGCGGTGACTGGGAAGGGCGGGCCAGGCAGGGATTTATGGGGCACCGATGCCCTTTCCATCATCATGTTTGTGTAATGTTTATACAGGCACAGGCTGTAAAAATTCACTGAGCTGTACACCTAAGACTCGCAAACTCTCCTAGAGGCGATCCTCAATATCTCTCCCCAAAAGCTCAGTCCCTCATCCCCAATCAGTGTATCCCTTTGGAAAGGTACTTTTGGTAGTTACAGTTGTGATCTAAAATTTTCCCAACTTTAGGAGACTAAGAATTGTCATTTCTAACAGGAGTCAAAGGAACTATTCTCTATACCAAGGTTGCAAGGAAGCACCTTGCGCTTTCTTGTACTCTTAAGAAAGTTCTCTTCTAAGTCTCTCTTAGAAACTAGTCTAAGAAGCTGGAAAAGGCAGTGCAGCAGGTAGGGCGTTTGTCCTGTATGTAGCAACCCAAGTTTGATCCCCAGCATCTCACACTTCCTGGTGCACCACCAGGAGAAATTCCTGAGTGCAGAGTCAGGAGCAAGCTCTGACTACTGCCAGGTGTGACCCCAAGACCAAATCCCACAACAAAAACTGGTCTGAGGGCCTAATAGAATAGGACTTCATTAATCTAGTTCCCAGCCGAGAAAATCAATCTAAAGGTAAGGGAACTGTACCTCCTCAGAAAGGTAAGGCACCACTTTTTACTACTCAATAGTCTAATGTACCTAAATGGGTTAGAAATAAAGTGACAGGAAAAAAAAATGAACTTTCGCTTCTCATGAAGATGTGTCTCCTGTTATATAACACAGATTAAACCCATTCATAAAAATCTAAAGTGAGGTTCAGCTGCGTAAATGTGTTAAAAACTGAATACTGGGTTAAGGAGAGATGACACAGAAGACGGGGGGCTTGCCTTGCCTTCCCTGACACTCATATGGTCTCCTGATCCCACCTGGAGTGATTCCTGAGTGCAGAGCCAGGAGTTACCCCTGAGCACCACTAGACGTGGCCACAAAACAACAACAAAAAACTTGAGTTCTGTGTAGAATTCCAATGTACTGACTTGGTGAGCAACATGATTCAACTTCAAACATTAAAATCAATGCAGAACATGAACACACAACAGAACCACATTACCAAAAAACAGAGCTTGGTTTAAGAATACAAAGCCAAAGCACCTCATTAAAGAAACAAAAAACCCCTGAAATTCCCTTAAAAGAAAAAGGGAAACTGAAAAACCACATTGACTGTATAAGTTCCTACTAACACTAAACACTGACCTGAAAGCAATTCCAGGATAGAGAAGGAGAGATGGTTTTCCAGGAAACCAGCTGAGTATATTAAGAAATCACAAAACAAAAACACACCAACAGTTTAAGAACTCTAGTTCCAAATAATGGAAAATACTACCAGATGTATTGGTTTTTGAAAACTGAAGTTCTACTTTTTCTTTTTTAAAAAACCAAATCCTTACTAAACCCAAGCCAAATGGGGCCATATAAAAAGTACATTTAAGCACAAACGTCCCAGCAGCTTACAGACTTATTTCCATGAAAACAGACCTGGATTTTCTGCACAGTTTGGAAGCTATCAGGTACCTTTATGTAGCCTAACGCCCTTTACCTTTCTCAGGTTACCACGTTCCTACACTCCTTTTGTGGGTAACCTCATTTTAAATTAAAAAACAAACAAAAACCAATAGAACAACCTTGGAAGACGGCAGGCCACTGCCTCCAGGAGTTTCTTCTGACAACCAACAAGGAGCACCTGCGAGCTCCGCGGCCATCTGCGCAAAGCCCCGTCACCAGTCCCAGGGCCGGATGGTCAACTTTTGCGGGTGGAACTTGGCCTGACACTGAACCCTGCGCAGCAGCTTGGACCCCCGTCAGCTCACCAATGATTCAACACTATCAGCCAGCAGTTAACAGCGGCAGCAACTAACAAGGCCCTCCAACTTTTAACCAATGAAACAATGTAGCAGCTCGTTCTTCAGAGAACTAGGCGAAGCGGTCCTCGCAGAGCCCGTGTGGTGTGCCTGCTGGTGTGTGTGTGTGTGGGGGGGAGGCCCCCAACTCCTACCGCACTCACTCCGGCGTGCATTTCCTTTCCGAAAGCAGAACTGCGGCCCCCCAAACACCTGCTTTTTGGGACAGCTCAACTTCAGCCCAGCCGCTCCGTCGTGGCCTGCTGGACCCTCGCCCCGCTCTGCAGCCCGCAGTCCCCCGCCTTCCCGAGAGAGGGGCGCCTCGACCGCCCCCTCCCCGAAAGGCTGGGGTCTGAACGCGCCCTCACGCTCCACCTGCATCTCTGAGCAGGGGTGACCAAGCGGAGCTTCGCGAGAGATCAGGGAGGCTGCCCCCCACGCCCCCTTAAAGAAAAAGCTCTAGCCCACCCCCCTTTAAAAACAAAACCGCTCCAGAAGGGCAGGCCCTCAAGCCACGCCCCCGCCCCCCAAGAGGCCCCGGAAATAGGACAGGTGGGACCTGCCAGGCGGGGGGCGCGGCGGGCGCGGGGTCCCCCCGCACGCGCGTCCCCCAACGCGGAGGCCCGGGCCGTCGCCGCCTCCTCCGCCGGGCAAGGGGCGTCCCGCCCGCGGCCCGCGCACCGTCCCCGGCTGGCCGCGGAGACCCTCCTCCTTCCGGCCGGCCCGCGCGCCGCGGCCAGCAGCGGCCGGGCCAGCGGCCAGGGCTCGGCCAGCGCCGGCACCTGCAAGGGCCGGCCGGGGCGCCCCGCTCCCCCGCCCCCCAGCGGCGCCCACCCCGCCCCGCCGCCCGGGCGTCCCGCGGCGCCCGCGCCCGCCCGCTCCCCGCCGCCGCCGCTCACCCGGGCCGGGCCGGTCCCGCGTCGGGGGAGCCCGCGCGGCGCAGGACGGACGGACGCGCAGGAGGGGCCGGAGGGCAGGAGGGGCAGCGCGCCCGGCACCGCGGCGGCCTCCTCGGCCGCGGGGAACGGGGACGAGGACAGGGAGAGCCGGAGCACAACAGCCCGCGCCGCGCGCGCCGCCGCCGCCGCCTCCGCCCGAGCGAGGCCGCTCCGCCCGTGCCCGCGCACGCCGCCCGCGGCCCACCCGCCTTCCGGCGCCCGCCCCGCCCCCTTCCGGCGGCGCGGGCCAATGGCAGCGCGCCGCTGTTACATAAGCGCGGGGCGGGGCCTGGCGGGGCGCGGGGCCTGCGCGCCGGGCGCTGCGGGGACGTCGCCCTCGGCCCCGGCCGCGCCTCCCCTGCGGCGCGCCGGCCGTAGGCGGCGGCCGCGTGACCCGGGGCCCGCCGGCCTGGGCCGCGCGAACGGGGCGCCGGCTCCCCGCCCCGGGCGCGGGGGGGTCGGGCGCCGACCCCCGGGAGCGGCTCGAGAGCCCGGCGCGCCTCGGACGGGGGTGGGCGCGCCCGTCGCGGAGCCGGACCCCGGGTGGGGGCCCGCCGCCTCTGCCCCTCAGCCGGCCGCCGCCCGGCGGGGCTGCCCGACCCGGGCGCGCCCCCTCTTTGTTCTGCCGGGGCCTCGCCGCCCGGTGGGCGTCCAGGAGTCCCAGCTGCCTGACTGGAAAACGCTGCGCGGGCCGCCCTGGCCGGGTCGGACGCGGTTGCCGGCCACGTGCCGAAACGCGCTGCTAAGGAGGGGTTTTTCGGTCTTCTCTTGATTTACCGGCCACGGTCGTTGACTTCCGAGCCTGACCAGAGAGGCGGCGTTGCTCAAGGTCACCCCCCAAGATCGCGCTTGGGGTCCTTCTGAGCCCCAGTTCTTGGGTGGCGAGCAGAGCGGTGACCTTGCCTGTCCAGCCCTGCCTCTTTGTCCTTTCAGCTTCACCCACCCCTTTGCACACGCCCCCACCCCCTCCGGTGCCGGTGACACGTTTCAGTTTTGCTCCCACCGCTGCTGGAGCTCGAGCGGAGACTCCGGTTTCCTCACCCGCCTGGGGGTGCGATAGCCAGAGGAGACGCCGAATGAATGGGATACTGGGAAAATGAGTGGAATGTGTCTGTGGAAAGCGGAAATACAACGTGGAGCTAGATCTTAATTGTCACCATCACCACAAGAATTGTGTTAATGGCACTGAGAGACAGGCACCCCCAAAGAGCTGTGTTTGCCACGATCGATCTGGGTCGTCCACATTGTGATCTGCGGGAAAGGCAGAGTAAGCGTGGGGTTACTTCTGTTGTGAAGAAATTGCCTCTTGTGTAGTCCTTGTCGCCCTTCCCAAAGCGGCTAGAAAATGCATTCCTCTTGGTGGCTCCCTTGGCCTCTTAAGGCTAATAGCACCCCGTCTCCAGCTGCAGCAACTGTAAATGTGTTCAGCGTCACCAAATGAATTGTGAGGGGCTCAGAACCGCTCCTAGTTAGGAACCACTTCCTGGCTTCTGCTTGAATCCTGGGTTACCATGGCATCATCTAGATGAAAAAAATGTGGCAGCAGTTGAAAGTTTCTGAATGCGCAATCACCGGAAATGAATTCAAATACACTCAAGAACATGGATCCTGAGTGTAAGCTGTGTCCAATCATGCTGCCCGGTGTTGAATTTTTCAGCTGAGGAAGGGTCTCAAGTGGGAGAAATTTAAGAAGCCTTGGCCTTATACGAGGTTTAGAGCCTTTGAAAATCCAGGAACGGTGAAATGACCCATCTGTACTGGCAGTAGTGTCCTTACATAGAAATGGGGGCCACATGACACAGGAAATGCTTAAGAGGCTCCTTAGATGCCTCTGGCTTGAGCTGTGAATGTTACCATACTTTTCTGAGCTGCTTTTCCTCTTGTCTTTGTTCCATTACTATAGGTCATGGGTGTGGAACTTCTAGCACCCCGGGTCCCTGGAATCCTAAGATCTGGCCCTGGTACAAATATAACTGGATTGTATGTTTCTTGTTCATTGCTGTGGTCTACACATGATGTTATAAATATCAAATAGCAGCAAGAAAAATTTCCCAGCCCCACTCTAGGTTCATAATAGATGTGTGCCTATTTTCTTTTTCCTTTTTTTTAAATATATTTTTTAATGAATCACCGTGAGATACAGTTACAGACTTACAAACTTTAAGGATTACGTTTCAGTCATACAGTGATGGAGTATCCATCCTTCCACCAGTGCCCATTCTCCACCAGCATTGTTCCCAGTATCCCTCCTACCACCCCTTTCCCAACACCGCCCCCCCTTTATGGCAGTCACATTCCCTTTTACTCTCTCCTTTTGGGTGTTATGGTTTGTGCCTATTTTCTATCCAAAATCATATTCAGATTGAAGTTCCTTTCAGAAGTCCTGCAAGGCGAATTTATTTAGATTCAGGCAGGATTTTTCAGGGAGAGGAAAAGAAGTTGGTTATTTGCTTCTCTGAGAGGCAGGGACGATTCTGACCTGCTTTCTCCAATTTATGCGTGGCATGTAGGGTAATGTTTAAGTGGAGCAGAGCGTGCTTTTATTAGAGAATAAAAGAACCACAGCTAGATGAGGGTTTCTGCGGTTTAGAGTTCCTGGAACTCTAGGGGTTTTTCACCTTTAACTTTTAGCATCTCATAGTAACAAAATTCATTCTAAGTGTATATTAGACATAAATGTATGTGGAAGTATATGTTTATGTGTTTATATATACATTTGTAGGGTTTATTTATGTGGGGAATAAATTTCTCCTATCATTAGGTCTAGTAATAATACGTAACATGTTTATAGAGTTTATTATCTACCCAGCACTGTTATGTGAGTTTTACACATTTGAATTCATTAACTCAGTAATTCTTAGGTGGGAGCGAAGTGACAGCACAGTGGGGAAGTTGCTTGCCTTGCGTGCGGCAGACCTGGTTCAATCCCCGCCACTCCACATGGCATCCTGAGCCTGCCAGGGGTGATTTCAGAGTCCAGAGCCAGCAGTAAGCCCTGAGGTCTGCCAAGTGTGGCCCCAGAACCAAACAATAAAAAAAACCCATCTGAGTGAGAACGCTAAGAGTGGCCCTGGTCTTCAGTGCCACAAGTGGGGCCACTGTTTTTGCCTCATGAGGGTGGCTTCTCTAGCTTTTCTTTCCTTACCTGAGTGCTCTGAGCTTAGTCCCTGTCCTGATAGGTATCCAATACTTGTGCGTTGAATGGCTTTGTGATCCTTCCCAACTTGGTCCTCCTCAATATCTCTGAGCCCTCAATGCCCCACTTTTCAACTTTCCCATTTCCCATTTCCCGGGGTCCTGGCGTAGATCTTGTTAAGAGACATCTAACTCAGTGCTTGGCAATCAAGTGAGCAACCAACAATGGATGAAAATGGATGAAAAGGGTAGTGGATCATGAAAACAACAGATCTCAAGATGTATTTGAAAATGAAGACTCCTGTCATCCAGCTGAAGATGGTATTGCATCCAGTTCTGTCCCAGGAAACCCCATGACAAGCAACAGGAGTTTATAAGAAGAGGTAAAAGCCCAAAAGACAGGACAAAGGGAACAACCTAGCAGAATTAGCAAGCTGCAGAGTACATAGGTAAATGGGAACAGACAAGAAGGTTTCTAGATGGGGTCAGGGGGAGGGAGTGGCACCAAGCCCAGGTGGGGCTGTGGTTACTGTGCCCAAAAATAGGGCTTAAGTGATTTAAGCTGAAAGGGTTTTTTGGTTTTTTTTTTTGTTTGTTTGGTTATTTTTAAAAATTATTATTTTTTGCCTTTTTTTTTTGTTACACCCGATGGTGCTCAGGGTTTAGTTACTCCTGGCTATGCACTCAGGAATTACTCCTTGCGGTGCACAGGAGAACCATATATGGGATGACAAGGATTGAACCAGGGTTGGCCATCTGCAAGGCAGGTGCTCTACCAGCTGTTCTATTGCTTTGGACCCAAAGCTGAATGTTGAGAGAAGCTCCCTTACTTCCATCAGAAGACCGGAATGGTTTTCTCAGGGAAAGGAAGGGGAACCCAGTAGGGATATAATATGTTGATCTCAGGGGTGAGAGTTTGTCACAAAAAGACACCACCATTTCCCAATCCACTGAGCCCTAACTGAAAAGTTCTGCCCGGTACTGGAGAGATAGTACACCCGGGTCAGTAATGTCTTAAAAGTTTGCTTCCTATCACCACATGGTCCTGTGAACCCTGCTGGAAGTTATACCCAAGCATTCAAGCCAAGCACCCGACCTGCTGTTCTATTGCTGTACCTCCCCATGTCACTATTTTAACTACAAATATGGGATTAAAAGGATTGAGTAGTGAAATCTCTATCTGCCACGGGGGCCAGTGGGGGAGGAGCTAAAGAGTGGCCAGAATCTCGCCCATCACAATGGGGTGTCCAGAGATGGTGCCTAAAACTGAGAGAGAGGGGCCTTTTTTAAAACACAGTGACATCAAATTTTTATTTAGCTATAAAAAGACAATACCTGAAGTGTTAATATATAAAGACCCAAAGAATGGACTTCTGAGTCCTAACGTGCTATGGCTGAAAAGAGGGAATTTGGCTCATGGGAAATGGCTGTTTTTCTTAACTAGTCTTGTAGGATTAGTTGATTAAGAAAGAAATTAGGGAACTAATCTTGCCACTCACTGAATTGCTCCAGGTAAGCCTGGTCTCTGGGTAAGATCTCTGGAGCCTTCTCAGGATGGGGGTGTTTGGACCTCCTACCAAGAGGTCCCAGTGCCTCACCCACACCCGATATCCTTTGGCATACAAACCGCCAGGCATCACAGCTCCATGACTGATCTCAAAGAGACACCAACTGCTGAATCGTCCCAGTTCCACAGCTCCTAGAGTGTGCAACCATATACGTAGCTGCTTGACACCTCCTAACTTCACAATACTGACAGCCCAGTAGGAGTACAGGTAAATGGGAAAGTTGTGTAGAATCCCACTAAGCTCAGTGAGTGAAAACAGTAACAAGGAAGGCTCAGCTAGCACCACATAACTCGGTAAATCCTCAGACAATGACTTTGGTAACACCATTGTAAGATATATGCTGTAACAAGCAATAGAAAGTACATTTTTGTGTGTGTGCCTCCTGGGGGGGCAGGCTTGGCGGGGGTG